CCCTGTCCCTCCCCGCCCCTCAGACTGACTCACTTTCCTCCTTGGTTTCCAGCCCTCCTCACCCTGATCACCACTCCCTTGTATTACCCGGGGGGGAGGGGCATGGATTTTCTAGTTCCCGAGGATAGCCGTCCACAGGGGGACTTGGCCTGGCATGCTTCTGGTCCTGCTGCTGCAGACAGCCTGGGTCTGGGGGTCCCCACAGAGCGTCTGGAATGGGGCCAGGGGGTGAGAGAAGCCTGTAAACCTGGACACACTAAGACCAAAAGCAAAATAGCTCCCGCCTCCGATCGTCTGTCCTTGCAAATAGTCGTAGACTGTAGTTGCCATTGACAGGGTGGTAAAGTGAAATAAACCTGGATATGGCTATATCCATATATATATGGAGGATGGGTGTTCTAGACCAGCCCTGCACTGTCCATTGTGATGGCATGAGTCATGTGAGACTATTTAAATTAATAAGAATTAAATTAAATTAAAAGTTCAGGGGCGCCTGGGTGGCTTAGTCAGTTAAGCGTCCGACTTTCGCTTAGGTCATGATCTCGCGGTTCGTGGGTTCGAGCCCTGCGTTGGGCTCTGTGCTGACTGCCAGCTCAGAGCCTGGAGCCTGTTTCAGAGTCTGTATCTCCCTCTCTCTCTGACCCTCCCCTGCTCACGCTGTCTCAATCTCTCTCTCCTAGAAATAAATAAATAAATATTTTTAAAAAAAATTAAATTAAAAGTTCAATTCTTCAGTCTCCAGAGCTGCATTGCAAGTGCTCAATCTTAGAGCTCAGCCTAGGGCTTAGCGGTGACCATAAAGGTCTAGGCAAATACAGAACCTTTCCATTGTTCCAGAGAGTTCTGTTGGCCAACCCGGCTCTGGCTGGGAGGGGCCGTGGATAGTCTGAGGAGTTTCGCTAACTTTAAAACACAACCTTGTGATGGAACGTTATTCAGCTTTAAAAAGGAAGGAAATTCTGGGGTGCCTGGGTGGCTTAGTCAGTTAAGCATCCGACTTTGGCTGAGGTCATGATCTCACAGTTTGTGCATTTAAGCCTCATATTGTGTATTCTGCTGTCAGCCCAGAGTCTGCTTCAGATCCTCCGTTCCCCACTCCCTCTGCCCCTCCCCCGCTCACACACTCGCACACTCAAGTGCTCTCTCTCTCTCTCTCTCAAAAACAAACATTAAAAAAAAAAAACGAAGGGGCACCTGGGTGGCCCAGTCGATTAAGCGTCTGATTTTGGCTCAGGTCCTGATTTCATGGCTCGTGAGTTCAAGCCCCGTGTCAGGCTCTGTGCTGACAGCTTGGAGCCCGGAGCCTGCTTCAGATTCTGTCTCCCTCTCTGCCCCTCTGCTGCTCGCTCGCTCTCTCTCTCTCTCTCTCTCTCTCTCCCTCTCAGATATAAATAAACATTAAAAAAAAGAAAAGAAAAAGGAAATTCTAACACCTGCTACAACATGGATGAACCTCGAAGACATGATGCTGAGTAAAATAAGCCAGACACAAAATACTGTATGGTTCCGTTCTCTGCAGTACCTAGAATAGGTAGATCTATCTGGATAGAAAGTGGAGGGATGGATGCCAGGGGCTAGGGTAACAGAATAGGGAGCTGGTGTTTAATGAGGATAGAGTTTTAGTTCAGGAGGATGAAGAAATTCTGGAGCTGGCTCGTGGTAATGGCTGCACAGCAGTGCGCATGTGCTTAATGCCACTTAATTGTATGTTTAAAATGGTCAAAAAGTGTATTTTACACAGTTTTTAAAAACACGCAGCCTTGGGGCACCTGGGTGGCTCAGTCAGTTGGGCGTCCGACTCTTGATTTCAGCTCAGGTCATGATCTCATGATTCATGAGCTTGAGCCCCACACTGGGCTCCACTCTGGTGGTGCAGAGCCTGCTTGGGGTTCTCTCTCCCTCTCTCTGCCTCTTCCCTGTTCATGCTGTCTCTCTCTAAATAAATACAACTTTAAAAAATTTAAAGAAGAACACAGCCTCGCAAACTACTAATTATTCCCGGAGAACTTTCAGAATAATGTATTCTTTATGGACAGAGAGCAAGGACAGAGGATATATTGTCGAGTACTCTGTGTCCCCAAAGGGCTCACATTCAACATTCATGTCCATAAGGACCCTGACAGGCAGGCTGTGGGCCTCATTCTGCAGATGGTGAATCAGGCTCCCTGGGTGAGGAGTCTGGCCACTGACACACAGCTGACGTGAGGAGACATCAGGATTTAACTCCAGGGCTGTCTGGTCCCTGGAGGTAATATTTGTGGTTATGCTTTGCGGCATCAACCCCAGCTCTGCTGCCTCAAATTCATCAATAACACTTGGGGAGACACATCAGTTCTTTGGGCCATGCTTGTCTGGTTAAAAAAAAAAGCAAGCCAAGACAAAGGACAAGAGAGTAGCTTCCGGAGCAGACTGTTAAAGACCGTAGGAAGCATCGGGGGAAGCCTTTTTAGCTGGTGTGCACATTCCGACAGGGGTCAGGAGGAAGCCGGGAGAATGGAGACCAGGCATAAGAGGGTGGATGGATTACCGGTGCAGACCCTTTTTGTCCCCCCTCCAAGTTCCCTGTAATGGTGTTTCAGCATTGTCTTAACAAATATAATTGAGAAGGACAAAAAAAGATGGTGTCAGGCAAAACCTATAATCGCTGAAAGACTCCGCAGCTGGGACCGATCGATCACCCCGCTTCTCAGAAGAAAACATGTTCACCTGTGCACAGAATATTATAGTCACTTCATCTCAGGCTGATTTGTTACATTTGCACAATGTTCCAGAGCCACTTCTGTGAGTGATCTTAGGGAAAGAGAATGGGATTTACATTAGGATACTTGAACTGGCTGGACCACCACCCAGCTGGGCGACCTTGGGCAGCTGCCCCTCTCTGCTCCCCAGTTTCCCCTATCCATGACATGGGGAGCATACATTTATATCACAGGGTTATTGTAAAGATCAGATAAAATCATGCGTAGGAGGCGGCTTATTAACTAAACTGCCAAGCAAACGTTAGTAGTGGTTACTGATTATTACTTAATATTAGTGACACAAATATTAACTAGGGTACTTAGCAAACATGTAAAGCGCTCCTCCAGAGTGTTTACTCAGTGAACATTCTTTGCTTCAGTCAGTTTTTATTGAGAGCCTACTTTGTGCTGACATTGAAAAGCTCCTGGATTTGAAGAAAGAAGCCCGCCTTTTCCAGCACGCCTGCTGTGGCCTCACCACTTGCTGAACGACGGTGGACCAAGCCTTTCTCCATCACCACACGGCACAGAGTAGGGCCAGGGGAAAACCACACATAAAACCATGGCCTCTGGGCAGCCCTTCGGGGCGCTGGCCAAGCCGAGGGGCCCCCACCGACCCTGGGGCATCCCACTAGACAGCACCAGGGAGGCAGGGAGCCCCCGCCCGTTTCTTGAGCCTGAGGAGCCATCCGTGTGAGTTGTCTTCACTGCACCATAGAGGCGGGCTGTGTGACGGCACAGAAGCCATGGGCTTCCATCTCTGCCCCGTCCACTTGCTGGCCGCCGGCCCATGGCACATTTCTCCACTCTCTGGGCTTCAGTTTCCCGGCTAATCTTGTCCACCTTGAAGGAGTATTCTGAAGATTTAGTGAGAGCATGTGTCTAAAGAATCTGGTCTGTGCCTGGCACGGGTAACCTGCTTCTCGCCGTCTTCCAGCCTCTTCTCCCTCCCTTTACGCGAGAGCCCTGCTTATGCCTCCAGGGCTGTTCAGAGCTGCTTTCGTTCTTTTGGAGGGACGGCTTAAAAACCAGGGTGACTCTCCCCTTGAGGTAAAATGATGGGCGGGCTCTTCACATTCTAGCCATCGCTCTGGGACACTTCAGACTCCCTTTCCCTCTACTTGAATCCTGGGCCCAGATGCCAGTAGGACAGTCACGCCACTCTGATACGGCCTCTCTTTACCACAAGGGTTCATCTCTCCCTGGGGCTGCTTGTCCGTCAGCGGTGGCTGGGGGCTCCGGACCCTCAGTGGCAGAGAAGCCAGTGTCTGGAGTGTGGCCGGTCACATGGCAAAAGGAAGTGGGGAGTGGTGAGTCACGCACCGCTCATAACTCTTCCGCCCCAAAGTGACATGTGTCTCTTCTGCTCACATTTAACTGGCCACATCCTACCTCAGGGTGAGGGGAGTACAAATCTACCATGTGCTCAGGAGAAGAACCAAAAATCTGACGACAGCCTTAGTCACTACCATGGCCCGGCTTTAGTCCATAAAATAATGCTGCAAGTTGGTATCATTATGGCCAACTTAAAAGTTGAGGCCCAAGGTATGTCACTTCTCCAGGACCACAACAGCAGGTCCTTGTGATTTTGTGTATCAAGTCCGAGGCATTCATCGCGCTAGTGAAAGTCTTCAGCTTGGGTAGTCTGCCCTTCCTCACCCCCACAGCAGCCTACCCCCCTCTCTCTCTGAAAGTACTGCCTACGCTACCCTATAATGATCAGTTTCCTTTTCAGTCTCTCTCTAGACGATGAGTCTTTCCATCTCTGTACCCCGTGTGCCTAGCACAGGCTTGGGCACAGATCTCTCTGTGGAGTCAACCTGGGGAAATCTCAGCGGTGCGTGGGAGTGTAATGATCTCACAAGCGTAGACCTAACCACGCTGAGTCTCAGTGGTTTGTTCCTTAACAAAACCTGCAGTTCTTAGGAAACAGATTGACCGACTGTCAGCAGAATTCTGGTGGTTCCGGGGGTGTTGTTCCCATTTCAGGTCCTGTGGCTAGAGACCCCCCATGAAAACTGAGAATAGTCTCTCCCCGCTCTGAGCCTTCACTAATATGGCGGCTGTGGACATAAAGAACTGTTTTCATGGAGAACCTAGGTCAAGTTGACATTGCCTTCCCCATTAGTCTGGGTTTCTGAAAAGCTGAACAAAGTGAGCCTTTATATGTCAAATCACATATTTCACATAATTCTCTTAAAATGTCAGAGATGCATGTACCATATTAAAGGCTTCCATTTTTGCTGTTCTCTCCCTGTTTAGATGCAGATGTTGGACAAATTTCCCATGGAAGGAGGACAGAAGGATCCCAAACAACGGATCATTCCCTTTCTGCCAGGTAGGTGAAACACATGCCGTCGGAAGGGGCTTCTGGGGGTTCTGGTACGGCCCCCAGGTCTCTCAGCTCAGTTTCCTTGGGGCATAGTACCAATGACCAGAGTGCCAGTCATTTGTGGAAATTCGTGCCTAAGAATATGGGCTTTGGCAGCAATAGCACTGCTAGGAATTGACCCAAGGGATACAGGAGTGCTGACGCATAGGGGCACATGTACCCCAATGTTCATAGCAGCACTCTCCACAATAGCTAAAACATGGAAAGAGCTTAAGTGTCCATCAATTGATGAATGGATCAAGAAGATGTGGTTTATTTATACTATGGAATACTTCATGGCAATGAGAAATAATGAAATCTGGCCATGTGTAGTAACATGGATGGACCTTGAGGGTGTTATGCTGAGCGAAATAAGTCAGGCAGAGAAGGACAGCTACCATATGTTTGCACGTATAGGTGGATTAGGAGAAACTTAATGGAGGACCATGGGAGAGGGGAAGGGGAAAAATAGTTGGGGAGAGGGAGGCAAACCATGAGAGACTCTTGAATACTGAGAACAAACTGAGGGCTAATGGGGGTGGGGGAGAAGGGAAGGGGGATGATGGGCATGGAGGAGGGCACTTGTGGGGATGAGCACTGGGTGTTATATGGAAACCAACTTGATAAACTATGAAAGAAAAAGAAAAGAATACGGGCTTTGGGGTTAGATGTCACACCACCCACTTAGGCAAGATATTTCACCTCCAGGATCCTCAGTTTTTTCTGTCTCTAAAATGAGAATAATTAAGGGCACCTGGGGGGCTCAGTCGGTTAAGCGTCCGGCTTCGGCTCAGATCATGATCTCACGGTTCATGGGTTCGAGCCCCACGTCAGACTCTGTGCTGACAGCCAGCTCAGAGCTTGGAGCCTATTTTGGATTCTTTGTCTGCCTCTCTCTCTGACCCTCCCCTACTCACACTGTCTCTCTCTCTCTCAGAAATAAATAAAAAACATTTAAAAATTTTAAATAAGAATAATTAGAGCTCATAAAGTTTTTGTAGTGAGTGGCTTCTTTATTAGGGCTGCAGTATTAATTTGCTATTGCTTTATAATGAATTAACACCAAGTTAGCAGTTTAAAACCACACTCCTTTATTATCTCACAGTCGGTTGGTCAGAAGGCCAGGCAGGTCCTGCTGGCTCTCCGTTTAGGGTCTCATAAGGCTGCAGTCATCATCTTGTCCAAGGTGGCTCTTGTCTGGAGGATTGGGGCAGGATCCATTTCCAGCCGCATTCAAGCTATTGGCAGAATTCACTTCCTTGCAGCTATAGAGCTAAAATACTGTTTCCGGGGCATCTGGGTAGCTCAGTTGGTTAAGCATCTGACTCTTGACTTCAGCTTAGGTCATGATCTCACGGTTTCCTTCATGGGTTCAAGCCCCGAGTCAGGCTCTGCACTGACAGCACAGAGCCTGCTTAGGATTCTCTCTCTCTGCCCCTTTCCTGCTTGCACCCTCTCTCTGTTTCTTTCTGTCTCTCAAAATAAATGAATAAACTTTAAAAAATAAAATAAAATACCTATTTCCTTGCTGGCTATCAGCCAGGGATCCCCTTTAGTTTCCAGAGGCTTCCTATAGTCCTTATCCATCTTTAAGCTGTCATCAGGGCATTGAATTTTTCTTGTACTTTGAATCTCTCTGACTTCTCCTTCTGCCACCAGAGAAAGCCATTTGCTTTTAAGAGCTCATGCGGGGCATCTGGGTGGCTCAGTAGGTTGGGCTTCTGACTTCGGCTCAGGTCATGATCTCGCCATCTGTGAGTTCGAGGCCCACATTAGGCTCTCTGCTGACAACTCAGAGCCTGGAGCCTGCTTCAGATTCTGTGTCTCGCTTTCTTTCTGCCCCTCCCCCGCTCATACTCTTGTCTCTCTCTGTCTTCAAAAATGAATAAATGTTAAAAAAATTTTTTTGAGAGCTCATGCAGTTACATTATACCTACGTAGCTAATCTAGGGTAATTTCCCTCACCTAAAGTGAACTCTGGCATGTATTGTAATATGAGCCCAGGAATGAGATCTCATCATATGCATGGGCTCTGGGGACTAGAATGGGACCTCTTTGGGGGTTCATTTGAGAAATTCTGTCTGCCTGTCTACCACAGCTCCCAAGCACCTTCTGAGTGCCAAGCACCACTCTGGGCACTGTGGAGCAGTTAATACAATCATGGCTGGTCCCTGCTCTCAAGACATTAAGGGTTCCTTTCCCCCAAAAAAATTTCCTTAGAAAAGGAACAGCATAAAGACTTCAGCTCAAAAACAGGGGCTACCGAACAGGAGTTATTGCTTCAAGTAGTAACATTGGCTGTCTACTGCAGGCCAGTCACTAGGCTAAGTGCTTTACATGCATTACCACTTTTAGTCTTCAGAATAACCCTGTGCCCATTTCACAGATGAGTAAATTTAGGCTCAGAGGAATTGTAATCATTTCCACAAATAGCAGAGCTGGGATGAAACACAGGTATGGCTGGCCCCAGAATTCATGCCTGATGTCACATGGCCCAAGTTCAAATCCCCAGTGCCCCACACATTCACTCAGTTACCTTCGGTAAATTATTTAACCATGCGGAGTTTTATTTCCTTTTGCAAATTGGAGATAATCATCATACTTAAATGACAGAGCTGTTACCAGGATGAGCTAAGAGACTGGCACGGAACTGGCAGCAACCAAGCACTTATGATTTTTATGTGCAGGTAATCAGCAAATTGACAATCACCCCAAATCACAAATATTTAGAGCTGGGAGGGCCCTCTCAATCTTTTTCATTTTGCCGACAGACAGCAGGCCCAGAGATGAAGGGGGCCTCCCTGGGTCACACAGGAGCCCACGCTCCCCTCCCCACTCCAGAGTTCTGCAGTCCGCAGCACATCGACTGGGTTCTTCTAGATGTTAGCTTCACCAAGTGGGTTTAGAGACATGGTAGATGTATTTGCCAGTCCCCCATCCACTGGGAGAATCATTTGCCTTAAAAAGCTAATGTTTTTAGTTCTTCCACGGAGAAAGTGTGCAATCACACTGGAATTTTTGTTTCCTATTGGAGAAAACCCCGTGCACCAACTGCAGCAGCGAAATAGCAGTGTTCCACAGTGAGTGCTTTAAAGTCCAGCAGACCCGGTTCTGTGACTTAGAGCAGATGACATCCCCTGCCCCCGAGCCTCAGTTTCTACATCTATAAAAAGGGACAGTGACTCGCATTTTACAAGCTTCTCGCCCTTGGACCTGGTGGGTTCTCTGTCAAAGTCAGAACCAGGATCCTGGGATATTCCTTTGGAACGTCTTGGTGTTGATATTTGAGAGTCATACATAAATGATCAGTCTGAATATTCAAGCTGAACTGGGCTCTAAATGTAGGCTTTTCTTCAGGGAAAGAAAGGAGAGCAGTAAGTTGTAACTCTTTACCAGACAAAAGGCAAAACCAGTGCTGAAAAAAACTTCCCAGGACGGGGAAGAACTTGAACCGACCCTCTCCCAAGCCCCTGAAAGCTTTTGTGGTTACATCATCCTCTTCCACCCACAAACTTTGGAAAATGCTGTTCTCAGAGACTCATCCCCATTTTCCCTGCTCAGGGTACCCACTTGCAGCTTGGAGAGGTCTAGTTGGGCCCCCAACCCCTAGAACATTCCTTCATGGCCTACCTCTTGGCTTTTCCTCGAAGCCAAGGCCAACGGCGAGGAGACACAGGAGACCCATTCCCTTCCTCGGGCTCAGTTTTCTTCCAGGACTGCCCCGTCAGCAGAACAAAAGCAAGTCTCATGTTAGCACAAAGGCGGGGGGAGGGGAAAGGAGCCCTGTACAATTTTCCATCCCAGCAAGAGCTGGGGAAGCCAACTTGGCAGAGGAGGCGGCTTGAAAAATAAGACTTACAGTTTGGCCTTCCACCGCTGTGGAAAACAAAAGCCTGCCCATTCCCACCAGAGGCTGTGCTCTCCGCCAAGCACCCTTTCTACTCCGGGACGGCTGGCCTGCTGGGGAAGGCTCAGGATCACCCTCCTTCCTTGCAGCTCACGCAGAAAGGCATCAGGTGCAGAGAAAGACCCGACTGGCATTTCACTCAGAGCCACCGGTCAATGAGGTACTGGCCACATGCTTCTGCCCCACAGCCCAGGGGCTGAGCCACGTTCCAGTTCTGCTGCGGGTGGACGATGAGTTAGCCCACTGGAGATGGGTCCTAACAAACTAAGCTGCAGGTTGAGGAAAGAACATGTACTCTTAACTGCAAAATATAAGGCAGTATTATCTAACCTATTTTTTTTTTTAATTTTTTAATGTTTACTTATTTTTGAGAGAGAGACACGGAGAGTGAGCAGAGGAGGGGCAGAGAGAGAGGGAGACACAGAATCCGGAGCAGGCTCCAGGCTCTGAGCTGTCAACACAGAGTCTGACGCGGGGCTCGAACCCACAAACTGTGAGATCTTCACCTGGGCCGAAGTCCGTCGCTCAACCTACTGGACCACCCAGACACCCCTAACCTATTTTTTTTTTTACGTGATTTCTCTTTTTGTGAGCACCTAGGAAGGGCCAGGCCCTGTGCTGGGTGTGTCATGGAGGTTACTACTAAGAAATAGGAGCTGCTCTCCCATTTTACAGATAAGGAGATTGAGGACCTGAGAGGTAAATGAATTTCCCAAGGCAGCATAATCAGTAAGAGATGACCTTGGAATTGGCCAGGGCCTCTCTGACGACAGAGCCTGTGGCCTCCTTGGCAGGTGCGACTGCTGCTGCGGGGCTTCCTGTCCCCAGACATGTACTCAGAGACCCCTGTCCCACTGAGGCCACACAGGGAGAGAAGTGGTGCTTTTGTGGTTGTGTCCACATCCAGGAGACCATGAAGGTGCCTGAGTTCTCCGTCCTTCTCTCTCAGGCCCAGCCTGTGCTGTTCCCGTGGGCCAGTGCTAGCACCATGCCTATTGTGAATGGTTTCAGTCAGGTCACAATCTCCCCAGTAAGAGGCCTGAACACCCCAGTCTCCACCCTTCCTCTGATTTACGGAAAGGCACATTGTATCAAAACGGGACCAAACGTTTTAGGTAGGGACTCCTCTCCAGTTCTGAGAAACCGATTAGAGGCAGGAAGCATTTGCTGTAGGAGATTTCTCTTCCCAGGCCTGCATACCGTATTTTGCCTAAAGGTTCAGGGATTCTCCGGGGGGAGGGCTCTAAACTGCAAACAGTCCCACCCACCACCCACGAAGGTGCTAATTTGATTATCACTAAGACTGGGGGTGGAAAGGGGATGGGAGGGCTGTGTGCTTTCTCTGGATTTGGGCCACAGATGCTAAACGCCCTGCAGGGTGGGAAACACCCCCACACTTGGACGGCCTGCCCCACCCAAAGTGTCAGCAGGGCCCCTCCCTGTTGGGACACACAGACTGTCAGTGCCAAGAGGGCAGCCCCCGGGTGCTGGCCCGCAGAGGGCTCACGTAGAGACTGTTCTCTATCAACTGACCCAGAGCAGGGCTGCCGGGTTGTAAGCCCGCCCCGCTTTGCTGCGTAATTTGCTTTTTAATTCCAACTGACAAGCAAATTTCCTGATTCCAGAAGCAATGCATGTTTATGGTGGGAAATTTGGGGAAAGTCAAGGAAAACAAAAAGGCTCTGTCTTCTACCCTTTGGAGACAAGCACTTTGAAGCCTGTGATGCATTTTCTTCTCAATTTTTCTTTCCTAATAGACATGGTATGTCAGAAGCTTGACTCATTAAGCAGAATTATAACAGTCACCATAATAAACAAAGAGGATTCCTTGTTCTTAAGGAATATGAGGAAGATGGATTTTATTTCACTGTGGGTTGTTGTTTTCTTTCTAATTGGTGGAAATTCAGCAAAAAACGAACAAACAAAAATAAACAACAACAAAAAAAACCTGCACTCTTAGGCAGACCATATCTACCCAATTCCCTAATTGTGCCCTTTTCCCCAAGAGCGAGCGGTCAGATAGTTTTAAATGTTAGATTAACCACATCGTCTCTTTGGGTGCAAATCTCCCTCACCAGCTTGCATTGCCAATCTTAAAGTCAGTAGGCTGTTTCCCGTCATCCCTTTCCATTCTGTCTTGTTGTGAAGATTCCTTTGCACCCTTTGCACCCTTCCTCCTATCCTGTTCCTGCTCACCCAGGCTCCTTCTGTGCAGGCTCACCAGAGACTGCTGGTTGAGCTCTCCTCGCCCTGCCGGACTCATGGCCCGCATGCCTCTCCCTGACCTGCTTCCTCGGGTCAGGAGTGAGTGAAGCTCTCCATAGCTCTCCGCACTCTGCTATCTGAAAAGCTGTGGTCTCCCTGTGTCTTCCTCTTTGACTTCTCCCTGGAGACCTCTTGATACTCTGATAAGCTCGGCAGAGGGGTTTGTCTCTGTCCCTTACCTTTTCCGGCCCCCGTCGGTGTCTTATTTCTGATGTTGCTCACCCCCTCCCTGTGTGACGGATCCAAAAGGGTAAGGCCAAGCCGTCTTAATGGTCAGTGCATGTACTTGGCCACCATCTCCCCATGACTCATGGGAACTCCCCAGTATTTTTTTTTTTTGCTTTATTTTTTTAAATGTTTGTTTATTTTGGGAGAGAGCAGGCGTGTGTATGTATAAGCAGGGAGGGGCAGAGAGAGAGAGAATCCCAAGCAGGCTCCGTGTTCTCAGTGCAGAGCCCAAATTGGGCTCCATCCCACAAACCATGAGATCATGACCTAAGCTGAAAGCAAGATTCGGACTCTTGACCGACTAAGCCACCCAGGGGCCCCTCACCGATTTGTTTTAAACAAACCTCACCCATAACGTTTTAGCACCTTGGATATTTCCAGACATCCTCAGTGGCATCGTTTATATACTTGTCTTTGCCTGTGACCTGCCCACACGTCACACTGTAAGCCCTGGTCCCACATCCAGTGCTCAGGACACCCGAGCAGGTAGTTAATTGATTCTCAGTTCGTTTTCAGTGAGATAGGAAGGCTTGGAACTCTTCTGTTACAGAGAACCGATTGTAAGGAATTGGAAGGATGTGTCCTGTGGGCCAGCGAAATCCACCTTTATACATTCATCAGACATGAGTGCCTTCTGTGCACATGAGTGCACACGATTGACTAAGGCCCAGTCTGCCCCTCTGCGTGCTGAGCTCCATGACTAGTAGGAAAGAAGATGTAAATCAACAATGTGATGTGTGCAGTCAGAAAGACACATGAATTCTTAGTCCATTTAAAGTGGGTAAACGTGGGGCGCCTGGGTGGCTTAGTCGGTTAAGCGTCTACTTTCGCTTAGGTCATGATCTCGCGGTTCGTGGGTTCGAGCCCCGCGTCGGGCTCTGTGCTGACTGCCAGCTCAGAGCCTGGAGCCAGTTTCAGAGTCTGTATCTCCCTCTCTCTCTGACCCTCCCCTGCTCACGCTGTCTCTCTCTCTCTCCTAGAAATAAATAAAAAATATTTAAAAAAAAAATAAAAAAAAATAAAGTGGGTAAACGTTTCCCAGCTGGGAGAGTGGGTGACGTGGGATGGGGAAGGTATTCCAGACAGAGCAAAAGGCACAGGATACTGAAGAGTGTGCAGTGCTTGGGGAATGTAAGACTAGACTAGGTGTCCAAGGAAGGAGGGCCAAAGGAGGCTGAGCGGTCAGGTTAGGCACGTCAGCATCCTCGCTGCTGCTCGCCCCGTCAGAGAGCCCTGGAGTTGGATCATCAGATCTGACCTTCCTTCCCCATCTGGTAGGAGCCCCTTCCTTCCACAGGACTGGTCCAGCCTCCCTTAGCTCATCAGAACTTGCCCAGTGGGCCCCACTCCCTCAAGCCCTGGCACTTGAGCTTTGAACAAGCCTTTGGGGGACCATGCGTGGGGTCATCCCGGCCCTGTGGTCATCCAACAGGGGATATTAAGGAAAGCCAGGAATTTGCATACCACCCACACCTACCAGAGGTGACCCCATCCACACCCTCCAAGACTACTAGGAGCTTCTCCTTGCCCACTTACAGTGTCACATGTGCTTTTATTTCCTGCAGGCAAAATTCTCTTCCGACGAAGCCACATCCGGGACGTTGCCGTCAAACGCCTGATCCCGATTGATGAATACTGTAAGGTAGGTCTGAGAAATGCCTACACTTCCCCTGTGTCTCGTGTCTTCCCTTTGGGTTGTTTTCTTCTTCTTCTTCTTCTTCTTCTTTTCCTTTTCTGGCTACAATATAGCCACCGCAAGCTATCTGTAGTTCAAAGAAATGTAAAAACAGAAAAATAACCACCCATGATCCCTCAACTCAGATGCAACAATTATTAAGGTTTTTACACGTTTCCTTTCCATTTTTTTCTCTACATGCATTTCTTCATGGTTTTGACACCATCCCACATGTGCCATTTTTGTTGCTCTTTCGTTTTTCTTTAATAGTGTAATGTAAGAATTTCCCTATGCTGTAAGAACATTCTCCTGAGCCTCCTTTAAATGGCTGCATAGTATTCTACTGTGTGTGAATGTCCCAGAAGTTAGTTAGCTTACCCCTGTTGTTGGACAGCGCAGCTGGCTTCCAATCCCTTGAATGTTCTAAACCACAGGGTGCCTGTCTTTTGGTTGTATTTCGTTTGACTTGAGGCTGTGGTTGGGGAGAAAAGCATGCTTTTCCTCTGTTTAGGTTCGCTTATCTTTGGTATTTATTTCTCTAGCTTTACATCACTAGATGCTCTGATTGGAGAAGGGTAGGAAGAGCAAGAAATACTTTAACAACGGAGCACTAAATGCTCTCTCTCCTAAGATCAGGAACAAAGCAAGTACATTTTTCTTGCCACTTCTGTCCTACATTTTGCTGGAGGATCTGGTCAGTATAAGCAGGCAAAAAAGGAAATAATAAAAGGTGTACAGGTTGGAAAGGAAAAAGTCAAACTACCTTGCTTCACAAATGGCATGATTCTATTGTAGAAAATCATAAGGGATCCACAAAAAAACTGACTAGAATAAGACACGAGTTTAATCAGATCCCAGGATACAAGATCAATATCAAAACTCAGTTGTATTTCTTTTTTTTTTTTAATTTTTTTATTTATTTCTAGGAGAGAGAGAGACAGCATGAGTAGGGGAGGGTCAGAGAGAGAGGGAGTCACAGACTGAAACAGGCTCCAGGCTCCGAGCTGGCCGTCAGCACAGAGCCCGACGCGGGGCTCGAACCCACGAACCGCGAGATCATGACCTAAGCGAAAGTCGGACGCTTAGCCGACTAAGCCACCCAGGCACCCCAAAACTCAGTTGTATTTCTAAACACTAAGCATGGACAATCCAAAAACGAAATTAAGGAAATAATTCCACTCTCAATAATATCAAAACAGAATATTAAGAATAAATTTATAAAAGAATTACAAGGTTTATACATTGAAACTACAAAACACTGTTGACAGAAGTTAAAGCAGCTCTAAATTAATGGAGAGACATTCCGTTCTCACGGATTGGAAGATTCCGTAGTGGCAAAATGGCAGTTCTTATTACTCATAAGAATGAGTAATGGCTACTCAGCCATTAAATTAAAAAAAAAAAAAAGAAAGAACGAAATCTTGCCATTTGCAGTGACATGGAGGGAGCTAGAGAGTATAATGCTAAGTGAAATAAGTCAGTCAGAGAAAGTCAAATACCATATGATTTCACTCATATGTGGAATTAAAGAAACAAATGAGCAGAGAGGAAAAGAGACAGAGAGAGACAAATCAAGAAACAGACTCTTAATTATAGAGAACAAACTGATGGTTACCTGAGGGGATGGGTGAGGTGGTGTAGATTAAGTACCAGGTATTGTATGCAAACGTTGAATCACTGTGTTGTACACCTAAAACTAATATTATACTGTATGTTTACTAACTAGAATTTAAATTAAAACTTTTAAAATATCTATAAGAGTAAATTAGATTTTGAGGGTTAAGATGAATGTCTTAATGAGGACAATGTGTTGTATATTTGTGTGTGTGTGTGTGTGTGTGTGTGTGTAGAAAATGATATGAAAAAGACAAACAACCATACAGGAAAAGTGGACGAAAGACCGGACTGGAAATACAAAGAGAAACAAATCCCGGGGTGCCTGGGTAGCTCAGGCGGTAGCCATCTGACTCTTGGTTTTAGCTCAGGTCATGATCTCATGGTTAGTGAATTTGAGCCCTGCATCGGGCTGTATACTGACAGTGCAGGGCCAGCTTGGGATTCTCTCTCTCTCCCTCTCTCTCTCTGCCCCTCCCCTGCAGTAAATAAACTTCCCAATGACAAACAAAAAGATACAAAATAAAACAAAATAAAGTAAAATAAAATAAAATTGCAGTTCTCCCTCAACTGACCTATAGATTGAATATAATCTCTGTCAAAAGCCCAGTAAGCATTTTTATAGAAATTTACAAGCCGATCCTAAATTGTACAGGGAAATGCAAGGTACCCAAAATAGCCAAAGCAGTTATGAAAAAGAACAAAATAAGAGGCTTCTACCACCCATTTTCAAAACTTCCTACAAGCTACAGCAGTGAAGGCAGTGATGTACTGGCCTAAGGAGAGGCATGTAGATCAGTGGAACAGAAGTAAGAGCCTAGAAATAAACTTTTGTGAAATTTATAGTCAAATGATTTTCAGCAATGGTGCCAAGAAATTCAACAACAGAAGGATAATCTTTTTACCAGTGTGGGGAATAACAGGATAGCCATTCGCCAAAACAAAAGAAAAAAAATATGTTGGATCCCTACCTCTCACCATGCACAAAAATCAACTTGAAATGGATCACAAGCATAAACATAGAGCTAAAATTATAAAACTTCGGAATAAAACATAGGAGAAAATCATCATGACTGTAGTTTAGGCAGAGAGTTCCTCGCTATGACACCAAAAGAGGAAAATTGATAAACTGGACTTCATTAAACTTCCAAACTCTGTACTTCAAAAGCATCCCTCTGAAGAAAATGAAAACACACGCCACAGATTAGGAGAAAATATTTGTAAACCGTATGTCTGACAAGAGACTTGTATTGAGTCTATATAAAGAACTCTTACAACTCAACAGTAAAGACGACCTGGTTTAAAAAGAGACAAAAGATTTGAATAGAAATTTTACCCAGGAAGATGCATGATGGTTAATAGGCACATGAAAAGGGGTTCAGCTTCTTTATTCATTAGGCAATGCAGAATAAAACCATAATGAGATACCTACATAGCCCTTGGAACAGCTGTAATCAACAAGACAGACAAATTAGTTTGGTAGTTTCTTCCAAAAGTGAAATTACCACATTACCACTCTTTGATATCTACTCAAGAGAATTGAAAAAACTGTGTCCACAGGAAGACTTGGATGTACATGTTCGTAATGAGACTGATCCATAATGGCCCCAAGTTTTAAGCAACCCAAATGTCCATCATCAGGTGCATTGATAAAGAAAATGTGGAATACTCCTACAATAGACCATTATCCAACATTAAAATGCAGTTAAGGACCAATAAATGCTGCAACGTGGATAAATCTCAAAAACAGGATGCTAAAAGAAGCCAGATGCAAAAGGCTATGTATTGCATGATTCCATCTCCATGAAATGTGCAGAAGAGGCAACTTTATAGAGACAGAAAGCAGATCAGTGGGTTCCTAGGCCTGAGGACAGTGCAAGCAGACATGGACTGCAAATTAGGTGGGGGAAATTTTTGAGGTGATGGAAAAGTTCTAAAACTGGATTGTGGTGATGGTTGCACAGCTCTGTAATTTACTGCATATTATTGAATTGTATACTTATAATGGGGGGATCTTATGTACGTAAATTATACTTCAGTACATCTATTTAAAAAATGTAAAGGGGGGCAGCGTGGGCACCGATGGCCCTTGTCTTGGCAGGAGATGTTGTGGAAGGGCAGAAAACCCGTCCTGATCACTCCTGTCTTCTTTTTGCTAGACAGGAGCTCGTTTCATCCCCCCGTCAACCTTGAGAAGTAGGCTGTATTATTCCCACTGTGTACATGAGGAAACAGAGGCCCAACAAAGTTACTTACGAAGATGGTATTACAGGGTTTGATGGTTGTACTCTAGCCTTTTAGGCCTTGGCACTCACATACCACTTACGGCCTCTCTTAAAGTAAGAATTCAAGAGGTCAGAATATTAAGGCATCTGTTTCATGGAAGCAGATAAACTCAGACTCTTTCTCTCCTAAAGATGCCCTTAAAAAGGGATTGGGAAGTGAAGGGCAGGGAAGGTCACCCAGGCACAAAGATGCTACTGCTGCCTCCCAGCTCTCAGAGGAAAGTTCGGATCATCTTGTCTTTGTGTCTTTTCAAACCTCTAGAGCCTAAAGGTCCCTTGTCCCGGCCTTGCCAGCAAAAACTTGGCCAGCTGGGAATTTCTCAGACCAAATTGTGCTACCCTACTTCTTCCCCTGCCCACCCCCAACTGCTCTCCAGAATCACACTTTCTTCATACCCAGGGGCTCACGAACCTCCAGACATTTGATTTTGAAAAGGAGAGTTAATAAAACCCTGGAACAAAGAGATAGCAGCAGCTGCCTGCATCTGGCTGATACTTGGAATGGTACGGAGATCATGAATTCACTTGGATTAGCCATAGGGTAGGAGCCACTTAGGTTTTATGAACCGCATGGAAGTTACCACCCCCTGCTATTAATGCATCATAAGAAGCAGACCAGATATTTGGGGGTTTAGGTTGGCCAAATTCCCTGGCTTAGCTTCAAGAGAACTGCCCTCCTGGAAGGAGATGAAACTATCTATTCACACAGTCTGCAAAATCTTTTACAGACTACATAGACTTCTACTTAGCATTTTGGGTATCTGTTACTGACATTGTTGTGAGTGGACATAAGCCAATTTAATCTATCACTCTTAGCTTTATTTTAGTAGAAATTGGTAGTCTCCAAGAGGTAAAGATAGACAAAGGATGTAGATATCCCCAAACCTAGTTTCCAGCTAGGAAGAAACCTTCAGCTCTACTAGACCTATTATAAAGTCACAGTAATTAACAATTGTGGTGTTGGCATAAGGACCGACAAGCCACTGGAACAACACAGAGAATCCAGAACAAGACCTGTGTGTATTTGGACACTCTAATCCTGGCAGAGGCAGCCTTGCAGACCATTGA